AGAAGGCAGTTAACAATAACAAAACAACAAAGGCATTTAGTAAGGGTATCATACAACTGAATGTCCTTCATTTTTATCTATGGAATGAGATTTGGGCTGCCCTGTGTGTGAGGCCAATTTTTTCTTTGATGGGTGAACTGGCAAAACATTTCATGCACTGGGAGGGGTTTTGTTCTTTGCAAAACAAAACCAGAAGTTTGATCTCCCAACACAGGCAAAGTTAGATTTAGCAGGAGGTCATTAGCTGTTTTGCAGAAAAAGAATAAATAAGGGCTGGCAGAGTAGAAATCTGCCCTCTTTCTGCTGACAGGGAAGCAAAGCCTCTCTGAACAGCCATGACCCTCCCACCTGCCAGCAGGGGAGGCACAGTTGGCAAAAAGCTTAGTATATTCCACTCCAATAATTAGTTTAGTGAAAAATTATTTTTGTGATCAGCTTAGTTTTTCACTAGAGAGTAGTTGTAGGCTTGTAAAAGAACAACAACAATGAAAAAAAATTGAATAACATCAACATTAGGCATTTTTAATGAAACTTCATGAGCTTTTCTCAACCAAATTTAGAATCAGTCAGTACATGAGCATCCAAACAGGGGCCAAAATTCATTATTTAAAAAGGAAGTGGAGTTTGCTCACACAAGCGAAAGATCCTATTAAAAAGCTACAATATCTGCAAATGTCAAGGCCGCCTGGTTCAGTGCTGCATCAGGATACGGCAAATCTGCCTTAATGTCAGTTAGTGGCAATCACAGAATATTGAAGTCATCTCGAACCATAGAACTATGCGGCTTGGATCCAGAGTTCCTGTGAATGGAATTCCACTAGAAAGATGTTTCTGATGGAGGAAGGAGGGCTGGGAGGAAAGGTATATTTGCTGATTTCTCCTTCCTCCTGTAGCCACCTTTTGCTCCCAGAAATGCTGCTTTGGAGAGATGGGAGGACCTTCTTGAACAGTGATGGAGTAGGGAGACCACATGTCCTATGTTACAGTCCTCTGCTTTAAGGGATGACTGGGAAGAGTTGTGTAATCAAAGTTATCCTCTTAAAGCTGTCAAGTATAAGGTAAAGGTACAGAAGAATAAGACGGGAGACCAAGTATGCCAAGCTCCCTACCAGTTCTCAGCACAGACCACAGACACCAGATGGCTCAGTCCTAGTCTTCTCCACTATGGTAAGTCTTGTTTCTTTTCAAATTATAGTGATTCTTCCTGAATCCACATCTCTACATAGGAATGGTCAAATGTAAACATAATGCCAATCTGTGTCATCTTTTGCCATCATTTTCAAGAATGTGTGTCATCTTTTTCCAGCCCCCCCCCTTCCAGGGGGAGCTAGGGGAGGAAGGGGAGAATACACTAAAATAGCCTCCCTACTTCTTTTGGTGGGAACTTCCCCTGGCTCTGCCACTTTCACATGGGAAAGACAACTTGGTATTAGATCCTCCTTTTATTTTCATCTGTCTGTCTTGACTAAAATTACCAAAAGGTAATCCATGTGGATCTTTTTCAGGCAGTGGAAGCAGAAGGTGATCTCACTGATGGGGTGGGAAGGATCTGTTTGAAAAATACTTTAAAAGTCCCTATACTCTCCCATTTTCTGGATTGAATTCTACCTAGAGTATTCTCCTTGAACTTGCTGTTGAATGGTGAGTCAATATGAATCCTATTGATTCAGCAGATTTACTCCAAGGATGGCTGGTGGTTTCCTTTTCTGTGGCATGGTAAATTGCTCTGGGTTTTAATCTGAACTTTCAAGGAATTATCCAAAGTAGTGAACCAATTTTTCAGGTGGATTCAGCATGTTGGAGCTGGCTTCTAGCTGGCTATGGGGCATTAGATGCCTAAAATTTATTTTAAAACCCAGACTTGATTCATAGCCCCACTGACATGGCAGTCATCACTCTGTTGTAGACGGAGTTAACAGTGGGATTCAGGCCTAAAATTGAATTGAAATTTCACTTACAATGGCTCTTGAGAGTATGAATGGGATGGAGAAAGAAACAGCCAATGCTCCCCACCACCACTTGAAGATTCTATCCTTGGTAATTTTGTAGAATGACCTTTTGATCTGAAGTGACCCCAAAATGAAATTTGGTGTTAGCAGGCCTCATGAATGGCACCTGAGGAACCTGGGGCTGATGAATGGCTGCCATCAGTTGAGCTGGCATGAAGAATGATCCTTTACTAACAGTTTGCCTACTAAAGATGTCCAGGGGTAGCTGTGTTGGCCATATAACAAAGTACAATAACTTCCAAAATCCAAAAAATAGAGATACCTTTATTGGGCCAGCCAGAATGCATAAAATACATAATGTAAGCTTTCGAAGCTCCACTGGCTTCTTCATCAGGCAAATGTGTTAAAAACATGCAAGAGAAAGAAAATATTTTCCTACTGACACCATGGGAAAGCAGATATTCCACATTGTACTGCTGCAGCTTTCGGCCTTTCTTATTCAAACAAGAACTTAAAAATAATTCACTACGAACTGGGTGTGCTTGATTCAACACACCTTGATTTTAGAGTTGCCTCCATCTGTACAAAGCAAATTTACAACATAGCAGAAGTCTCCATCTTGATTTATAATTTGTCACAAACCCAAAGAAATCAGGCTTCCCGGAGGTTTTCTTCAACCATATATCAATCATATGCATTTATGTACCTTCTGACTCCATCAACAGATAAACCAGGGAGTGTGCATTAATATGACTAGTTTAATCACACACTCACAGACCAAAAAGGAGAGCAACAAACTCAGTTGCCTAAAAGTAATGGGAGTAAAATTCAGGTCCAAACCTGCCACTTCTATTTTTTTAATATATATAATTTAGTGTTTTTATTTGTTTTATAACAACAATACAAAACAAACAATCAATACATAAATAATAAATAGCCTTGGAGGACTATATGTAAACTTGCATAACAGCTATCTTTTGTGGGATAATATCAGTAACAAAGTCCTAAAAACATCATTCAGATTCACTAGTTGATGTATAGTTGGGATCAAAG